TTATGACTGCATGTACAATAAATGTAAAGATTGTAAGAGTATTTCATATGATGAACAAAAACTCGATTCTGCTATATTATGGTTCAAATGGGCTAGGGTAAACCATGAGTATGAAAAATCTGGCAAAGTATATACAACTAAAAAGACCACCAAACAACAAGTAAAAGGAACTGTACTTGATATCATCACCAACTTTCAGAACGAGCTACCGGCGTTTAAAACTCATTTCTATAATTGGATTGAACAACAACGTCAATACAGAAATTGTATCAAGAACAAGAAAGATGACGAGATACTCATTTTATGTGACTTTTCGGAGAATTTTGAATGTATATATAGTGAAGAAGTCCAATCAATGCACTTTGGTGCCTCCAAAAACACGATCACTTTACATTGTGGTATAATTTTTTGGAAAAATCTATCCCAATCATTTGTATCTGTTTCAGATAACAATTGCCATGAGCCGAATGCCATCTGGGCACACTTGATACCAGTTATCAAACTTGCAAAAGAAATGAACCCTCATATCAAAGTTATACACTTTTTTTCAGACGGCCCATGCAGCCAGTACCGTCAAAAAAGAACTTTTATCTTTTGAGTTTATTCACCCCAAAATTGAAACTATCATATTCAACATGGTCATTTTCGGAGGCAGGTCATGGCAAAAGTATGGCAGATGGGATTGGAGGTGCCGTTAAGAAACAATTGGATAAAAGGATTTCTTATGGTCATGATGTTACTAACGTCACTGAAGCATTTCAAATTTTAGAGAACAGCATGAAGACAGTAAAGTACTTTTACATAAGTAATCAAGATATTGAAAACATGAACCAACTTATTCCCAACGGCATTGAAGCTGTTCCTGGTACAATGCAATTGCATCAAATATCATCTACACAATGTAACCAGATTAAATATCGGCAACTGAGTTGTTTTTGTGGGGAATATCGTAGTTTGTACAGTTGCTATTGTCCCAAAATACATAATTTTGTTAAACCATCCAAAGAAACTGCCGAATTGAGTGTTGAGGCCTTAATAGTTCCTGGGACGTCAAAAGACAACATGAACGTTACTCCTTGTTATTCGAGCCTAAGCATTGTGCCCCAGAAAAGGAATACGGCAATTGATTATGAATTTCCAGAAAATACCCGACAGATAAGCAGTTACCCTATTGAGGTTATTCCTGATCATATGCTCCAAGATTTAGAAACATACCAAAGTGATAATGAAGAAAACATAAATTTTGATTTCCATGTGGGTCAAATGGATGAAACTCCAATTTATTCCTTAGAAGACAACAATATTTCTGGACCACTCATAGAGATAACTTCTCTGACCGATAATCAGAGATTAGTCGAACCTAAATCTGATAGCATAATTCCAATCCTGGAAAGTTCATGCATGACAGCTTCAGATCACGTTCTTGGTAATACCCAAATAAGCAGCTCAAAGATAATCTTGCATCTCTTGAATGTCAGCTCTCTAAGAAGAGAAAAATAAATATATCGAACAACAACAAACATAACGGAAAAGAATTTAAGTCATCAAGGACTTTTTTGTGCTCTATTTGCAAGGAGCGTCAGCCTTTTGTTATACAAAGAATGGTAAAATGTAATGCATGTAAAAATTGGGTTTGCCTGATATGTAGCGGAACAACCTTTTTTGACTACGTTTGTTCGATTTGTCTTGGGAGTGATGAATAGTGTTGATTGATCTCAAATGTGTTTTTTTGTATTGTTTTTTTTTTAAGTGTTGTTTAAGTTACTTACTTTATTACTTTTTTTTACTCTTTTTTGTTACAGTTTAAGACCGTTTACAACGTACAGCATTTTATACAAACTTTCAAGTCTTTATTTTTCGAAATAAATGAACCGATTTTAATGAAACTTCCTACGCATAAGCAGGATATATAGGTCCGAAAAGTTAATGAGAACATTTTCGAAAAATAATGTTACAGCTAAATTCGACCGATTATAAATTTTCCATAGAAACAGATATTTCCAATTATCTTGTTTTAAATAAGACATTTCGAAAATGTTCTTTACTAACTTTTTAGAGCTATGTGTCCTGCTTATGCGTATGAAGTTTCATTAAAATCGGTTCATGCATTTCGAAAACAAGTACTTGAAAGTTTGTATGAAATGCCGTACGTTGTAAACGCTCTTAAATGATATACTAGTAATATTATGTTTAATACGATAAGTACAAGTTACCATGATTGTTGTCATAATTCAGAGTCATATAGACGTTGCCTTATAATTCCTAAACGTCATTTTCGAATTCCATTAACGTCACTGTCCTATTATTACTGTGATTTATTTTCTAAGACTAATTAATAGATCTCAAAGAAATTTGACTGTTTTTGTTCAATATAGTTTATTATTAATTTTTAATATGTTATAATTAAACTTTTGAAGGAATATTTCTCATATTTGACGTTCTAGGATGAAAAAAATATAGTACAAAGTACCCAAAAGACCGTGCCAGCTCTATTCTGTCAATTTCTTGAAGTGTGGTCATTGTATTACTCATAAGGAAAGAAAAATAGGAAAAAATATATTAATTCGCAAAGCTCCAGTTTTGTGATTGTAGGTGAGATATTATAATAATATGTATACTTTGTAAAGCTTACAGTTGAATTTTCTTTTTTGCGACTTAGGTATGTTGATTTAAGAAGTTTATCTCTAATTAATGTGTTTATGTATATACGTGTTAGTATCTGCAAAGAGTGTTTGCTAAGAAATAGTGTAGTTAATTGGGTAAGGTATTGTGTGTGTGAGTGTATTTATTAGGGATATTTGTGTAAGTACAAAGTAGTATGTTTATGTGTGTTGCACGCATATAACAGTCAGATATATGAAAAAGTATTATGCAATCTTTTTCCAACAAAAGTATATCTATTTATTTATTTATGTTTATTCACATAGGCTCAAAGCTCTTATGAATGGTCAAGCAAAAGAACAAATATAAGAGAAAAAAAATACTATTTAACAAATCAACTAATTTTAACAGATAACTATCTCTATCAATCCACTTAACTTCAATTACCTTAACTAAACATTATTTATATAATATATAGACAAAAAATAATAATTCAATATAATACTATATAACACTAATTTGTTTAAGTTATTCAGTTAAGATTATTCTGTGTGGAACTTGTTTGACTTTCAAATGACCATGGGTTTATGTCATTAATGTAATTGTCAATTGTATAATATGCTTTTCTAATCAAAGTGTTTTTTACATACTTTTTAAATTTATGTAAAGGCAAGTCAAGCATTAAATCAGGTATTTTGTTGAAAAATCGAATGCCTTGTGTCATAAATGAATTGTAAGTTTTCTTTTGTCTAAAAAATGGTATAACAAGTTTATTTTTATTTCTAGTATTAAGGTCATGTATGTCACTATATTATTATATGTATGTAAATTTTTCCTAACAAATAGTATATTAGAGTATATGTATTGAGAAGCAACAGTTAATATGCCGAACTCTTTAAATCGTTCCTTTAGAGACACTTGCTTACTCAAGTTATAAATGGACCGAACCGCTCTCTTTTGCAAAACATTATCATATTGATATCCGATGCCATACCCCATAGTAAGATACCAAAGGACATAACACTATTTTTTTTTCATTTATTTAAAGAACCACAAACAGATTCACAATTAAATATATATAAAATATCAAAACAAAGAAACGTAATTATCATTATGAATCCAACAGCGCTGGTCTCATTATACATATAATCTAGTGTTAAAGTGGAGCTCATCTTACATAATAACAAGTGTTAGTTAACTGGTTAAGAAATCATAAAGTAACTAATAAACATTATTAATAGGTACATATGTGTGTATGTAGGGGAGATCCTTGTACCTTGGGACGCTTTTCTTTAAACCTCCATAATTTAAGTTCAAATTTATCTATGCCCTTGAATGTTGAAATTTCTATTAGGTAGCCAATAACATCACAATAATATGATGTAAAACACGACCTACTATGTTTTATCAATGAGAAAATGACAATTAATTACTTTAGGATATTTGTCCCAAGGTACAATCATGGCTTGTACCTCGGGACACCAATGTTTGTACCTTGAGACACATTTTTGTAAACCTAAACTGCCGCCAGATGAATATTAACTCTATCAGTTGACATACATATTTCATATACCAGAGATTTTGATATGAATGGGCAGCTTAAATGCTTTGTTAAGGTATTTAAAGCATTGAAAAACAAAGATATTGTTAATTTTATATTAATAAAACAACAGTCATTACAAAACTTACTTACAATCACTTTTTAGATAGTCAGGAAAATAAAAATAATAACAAAACTTGTTTACAAATATTACTATTAGTTTTCTTCAGACTTGATACCGCATTTCTGACAGTAATTTTCAAAACAGGTGCAATCTTCGTGCACCCAGAATCGGCAGGTGCAACACTGAATCCAGTCTTCTGTGCTGGAAGTAGTGAAATAATTTTCACCGCAACCCACACAATTATTTTCCTCTTGATCGTCATCACATGAATCGTCATTTTCTAAGATAACATCAGTTTCATCGTCAGAACTACTACTTTCTCTCTCAACTTTTTTCTTAAAAACACGCTTCTTGACAGATTTGTTTTTTTATTTACTTCTTTTTTTCTTTTTTTAGCAGCTAAAAGCTCCAATTCCTCTTTTTCAGGAGTACCGGTTACGATTCTTGTCTTACCTTTTCTATTTCTAGTAGTATTATTCTTACGTGGTGGGGCCTTTGGTAAAGGACGAATGGCTTCAAGTGACATAAGGATATTTTTGTCTGTGTCTATAGTACCAGTGGATGTAGATGATGCTGGAAATTCTATTGCTACTTGGTTATTGTCATATTGTTGTTCAATATTTGCATATTGTGATGGTCCAGATAGAGCAATATTTGGTTGTATTTCAGCCACATCCAATCTGGTGTGCGTAACGGTGTTAGCATCTACATAAGGCCTATCAGTAACATATAAGCTCAGGAACTCATCTTCGCCAAAATATTATCATTAAATGGCCATATTCTTGCAACTTTAAATCCATTTTGAATGTTGGATGGCGTAAAAGCTAATGGAAAAGCAGTGCCAAAGCATTCGGCGACATTATATATAGTGAGAGGAGTTCCAGGATGTTGCAAAAGCCAATCGTTGCAAGCTTTGTTATAATATTTCTTGAGTGGACCAAATACGGTTCTGTCTAAAGGCTGTAACTTGTGGCTGGTGTGAGGAGGAAATGTGAACATTACTATACCATTATTCTTGGCCAATTCTATGATTTTAATCGAAATATGACTCTCGTGATTGTCCAATATCAGGAGCACTTTATTATAATTATTAGGTCTAACATGTTTAATGAAATGGTTCAAAAAATCCTCAAATTTATCACCATTGGACCACCCACTGGGAGTTGCAAGACCCAAAGTCTCAGGAGAAGCACCATTAATCATGTGACTCTTAAAGTGCACTCTAGGAAAATCATGCAAGGAGGAACCGAATTCCCAAGTGCATTCACGCATGCAATAACAGTGACATTATTACCTCTCTCTGCTGATGTAATATTTCCAACTTTTTTTACTCCTTTTGACGCTAAAACTTTCATTGGATTGTGTACTGTAGACATGCCAGATTGATCTACATTATAGATCCTTTCGCTTGTAAAATTGTATTTCAACAGCAGTTCCTTGTATTTATTAAAAAACAAATTTACATTCACCTTATTAAAAGAAGTAGCACGTGCTAAACTCGTTGCTTCTGGTTTTCGCAAGCTTAAATTTTGATGCCTTTTAATAAAATATTCATAAAATGTCTTACCAGCTTTTTTATTTATGTCCCAAGCACTTGGATAAGTTTTTTTCAAAATTACTGCATATTCGAATGCTAATTTTAAAAAGTCATCTTTGCATATTCCGTAGTGTAACTTGGATGCCTTTAAGCAATATTCAACCAATTGCTCTTCTTCTTAATCATTAAACACTCTCTTGACAGCATTCAGAGGGTGATAGACGACCTCAACATTTACTTTTTCTTTGTTCAACTTCACGTAACGGCCTATTAAAGATTTTGAGACATGAAATTCTTCTGCAGCTTTCCGAATAGATAAACGTTTTTCAATTACCATTTTAATTGCACTTTTTACATTTTGCTCAAATGAGTTGGTTGTTAATTTTTAAATTAATTTCAGATTCTTAATTTTTTATTTCCAATTTCTTTATTAATAATTTTCCAAGTAGTTTTAGGCTTGTTCCTTGAAGATTTAATTGTTTGTCGTAAATGTAATGCTTTCGCTTTATTACAAACTATTCTGAATATTTTAGATTAGGATTTTCCATATTGTATAAGTTCTTTATTATGATTATATTTTTTAATACTATATAGGTCATATAACTTTTTTCTACTCCTATGTATACCCACAGTGACCCAATCACTAAACTTCATCTGATTGTAACTACCTATAATTTTTGTTTTAAAAATTTTGTTAAACTCAATCTCTAAAATTTGAGAGTCCATTATACATATAATAAGTCTGGATGATTTTGATCTAAGTCAAGAAGAGGCACTAGAAATTTAATATTGTTATTGAATTGTCTCAAACGTGATGATGTTACTGGACGACAAACTCGTGCAACCTTTTGAGTTTTTTTAATTCTCTTATCTTTAAATGCAACTATTTGTCCACAATGATCAGATGTTAATTTGCTTATGATAGACTTTTCTATTACCTCACAATTTGAAAACACATTATCCAAACATGTAGAAGTAGTTTCTGTTATTTTAGTAGGTTCATGTAATAAATGTCGCTAATCAAAATAATAAAATAAGTTAATAAACCTGTTTCTTAAAGCGATTAAATTCCAGTAAATAAATATAATCAAACAGTTTTTCGGCGGGTAGGTGTTTAATAAAATACAGTTACAAAAGTGTTCTCGTAATATTTTATGATTTAAATATAATTTTGAATATAATTTGTAGTATTCGTGCTAATATAATAACTAGTAATTTGTTTTTAATTCAGTGTTTAATAAGTATGACAATTTAAATAGTTAAATACTCACAATTCACCTCCCATCATAACCTCAATTCGTGACAACGTTCATTTGTTTACATAGTAAATAACTATCGTGGTATAAGTTCTTGAATAATGGCAAATGTTATGGATGTTGAGAATATGCAGAGAGTTGGAAGATTGTTGGAGTCAGAAAATGGCCGAATTTGAGAAACGCTTGAAGGATGCATCCACTCCAATAATCCCAACACTGGCACAGCTACAGGAAGAATTTTACTCCTTTAAGGAACTTGTTATCAAAATGCTAAATCTTTTACGGCAGCAGGTCCATGAGTGCATGAAGAATGTTGATACTATTAACATGTGGCATCGTCGAAAGGCTATTGTTTTTAATGGCATCCCTGAGGCATCTGTGATTAATATAACAGATGAAACAGAAACAGAAACAGAAACAGAAACTTTTTTATTCAATATAGATTATAAATAATACTTATTGAAAGTCACTCTTTTGTTTGATTACCACTGGTTCGGAAAAAACCTCTGTCCTGGGAAGAACCAGCAAGAAACCCAGCGGGACTTTTTTTTTAAATAACAGCTTACAATCATGATGTTACACAAATTAACAACACAACAAATTAGAAATAGCTTGGTAGCGATCACCTCATTTCCAGGGGTTATTATCATCCATAAATTCCTTAATATTATAATAACCCTTTTTATACAAACTTAGTTTAATAAAGTTTTTGAACTTTGAACAGGTCAAACTTTGTATATTTTCTGGAATTTTGTTGTAAAAGCGTATACATCGCCCCAAGAATGAATTACTGACTCGATGGAGTCGAGTAACTGGTACTACTAGCTTGTGTCTGTTCCTAGTATTTACAGAATGAATATCACTTATTTTTGTAAAACTACTTTTATTTTTGTGTACGTACATTACATTTTCATAAATGTATTGAGAGGCCAAAGTTAATATATTAATTTCCTTAAATTTTTGTCGCAGCGTCTCTTTAGGCTTTAAATCATAAATTGCTCTTATGGCCCTCTTCTGCAAAACAAATATAATTTCAGTGTCAGCTGCGTGTCCCCATAGCAAAATACCATACGACATTATGCTATGGAAGTAGCTGAAGTAAACTAGTCTAGCTGTTTCAACACTGGTTAAACTTCTAATCTTTTTTACAGCATATGCTGCAGAACTAAGTCTGCTTGCTAGTTTTGATATATGGGGGCTCCATTGAAGCTTCGCGTCTAGTGTGATTCCAAGAAAAATGGTGGTATCTACAAGACTCAGTTTCTCCCCATTTAAAATTACATTAGTATTTAATTGTTTGACATTTGGAGTCACGAATTTCATACATTTTGTTTTAGTGCCATTTAAATGCAAATTATTAACATCGAACCAATTTACTAATTTAGAGATAGCATTATTTACTTCGTCATATTTTAGTAACTGTCGACTTAATTTGAAAATTAAAGAAGTGTCATCTGCAAATAATACTATATCATGGTTATCCCCTACTATGTAAGGCAAGTCATTAATGTATACAAGAAACAGAAAGGGGCCGAGAATTGAGCCTTGAGGCACGCCCATTTGTACCATCGATCCGGAAGAACTCATATTGTTAATGACAACTTTTTGCGTTCTCTTACTTAAATATGAAATAATTAGTTTAAGGGCATCACTTCTTACACCGTAGTGTTGAAGTTTCCTGATTAATGTTTCATGGTGAACACAATCGAAGGCCTTGGATAGGTCACAAAATATACCCAAAGCATCCTGTGAATTCTCCCATGCATTAAAGATATATTTAATCAGCTCAACACCGGCATCAGTTGTCGAGCGACCCCTTGTGAAACCAAATTGATTTTTATGAAGTAAATTATTTATATTAAAAAAATTTAACATTTGAACAAGAACAATTTTTTCAAAAATCTTACTAAGTGTTGGTAGTACAGAAATAGGTCTAAAATTGGCGGGGTCTCATGTACTACCAGATTTAAATAAAGGTATTACTTTACTATGCTTCATTAAATCAGGAAACACACCAGATTCGATACTAGTATTAAAAATAATAGCTAAATGAGGCGCGATTGTATCTATTATAGACGCAATAACTTTAACGGAAATCCCCCACAGATCCGCAGTTTTCTTAACATCAATAGTTTTAAAATATTTTACAATATCTTTTGATGACACTTTATGAAATGTAAAATTCTTTGTACACACATTTACATTTTGTTTAAGTAATGATTCGGCGACGGCAGGAGAAGAATTCAGTGACTTAGTGGTCAAGATCGGAATATCAGTAAAATATTTCTCAAAAACCATTGCTACGTCCTGATCTGATACAGTTAATTTGTTGTTAACACTTAACTGGTAATTTGAATTGCGAGAGTTGATCTTACCAGTTTCGCTATTAATTATACTCCATGTCATTTTAATTTTATTGGAAGCCGTCTTAATTTTGTTGCTCAAATGCAAAGACTTGGCTATGGAGCACACTCTTTTAAATATTTTTGAATATTTTTTTACATATTCCCTAAATTCGACGCTATGATTATATGACCTTTCATGGTAAAGATCATATAACCTATGCCTGCTCTTATGGACTCCTACTGTCGCCCATTCATTGAATGACTTACGACTGTTCAAGGAGAATGTTTTAGAAGTAAAAGTATTATTAAATTCATTGCAAATAAGCTTAAATAATGTTCCATACATTAAATTAGGATCATTTTGGTATGAAAGTGATGGAAGTTTTTTCACTATGTTACTTCTAAATTTCTCCAAGCGACGTGCATTTACTGGAACAGACACAACTTTCTCATCTACTTGCTTTTTGTGAACATAAGGTAACGAAACTACTTGTCCACAGTGATCAGAACTTAATTTTTGAATTATACATTTATGCAACGGCTTCACATTTGTAAAAATGTTATCTATACATGTTGCACTAGATTGAGAAATACGCGTTGGCTCTATAAATAAATTAAAAAGACCATATGATTTAAACAATGATCTAAATTTAATATTGATGGAGGAAGCTTCTAGGAGATTGATATTAAAGTCTCCACATATTACAACAGATTTATTCTGTTTATTAAGCTTAGCAAAAACTTCCTCCATAATGTTTTCAAAAGTATCATATGTACAACATGGGGGTCTGTAGACGCTCACAACAATGAGGTGCTCAAACTCAACACATGCCATTTCTACAGTTCGCTCAACAGAGAGGCTCACAATGTCTTTACGTTCTTTACATGATAATAATTTACTAGCTAATATTAAGGAGCCACCTCTTAAAACCGTATCTCTATTGAAAGAACTGACCACCTGGTGATTACTGAAGTTAAACATTAAATTATAAGCTTTTAACCAATGTTCAGTAATACATAAGATATGAATATTGTTGCTATTTAAGAACAACTCAATTTCTAGCT